TCTTTTTTTTTTTTTTTTAATTTTTAAATTTATTTCAGAGAGAGGGAGAGAGAGAGAAATGTCAATGATGAGAGAGAGTCATTGATCGGCTGCCTCCTGCACGCCCCCGACTGGGGATCAAGCCTGCAACCCAGACATGTGCCCTGACCAGGAATCGAACCTTGATCTCCTGGATCATAGTTCGATGCTCAACCTCTAAGCCATGTCGGCCACCCACCACTTTTATACCCCAATTCAGAGATTTATTTTTCTTTATATGAAGATGCCAGTGTGGCTTTACCTGGGCCTTCATGTTTTTCCCTTGGTTTAGCCCCATTTTCACCCACTCTCAATATCCCTGAGTGTGACTGGCCTTGACACCTCCACAGGACTTCGAGGTTCAGGGTGTAGTCTCAGCAAGGGAAGAGCCCTGGACTGGTGCACAAGAGGCCATTCCTTACCAATTCTGTGACTCTGACCAGAACTACTTCACCTAGCTGGGCCTCTCTGTTTTCCCATCTGTAAAATGGGTGAGATACTCGAGGATTAAATGAGGTAAAATCATGGCTGTAAGAGCTGCCCTTCAGTGAGACTTAACCACATGCCAGGTACAAAGCCTTGCCCTTCAGTGACAGCCCTCACAGCAGTGTAAAGTAACAAGGTGGGGAGGGACAGGATAGGGAGGCTCCGAGCCGTGAAGCAACCAGCCTGATGCCACATGTCTACGTGGCAAAGCGAGCCAACACTTTTGTTCCTGGAGTTCTTTCTTTTATGCACACTCCACCACGGTACCTTCCTTGTGGGGGAAAACACCTTGAAAAGACAGTAGCACTGTTCAGTCATCTCTTCCATGCCTGTAACCAAGATTTCTTTCCTTCTGTATTTTGACCTGTCATATCTTGGCCAAATGTAGTTAAGGATGGTGTTCCGACTGGGCTGCCTTCTTCCCCCCCAGTGTATGGCCAGGATTTAACTGAGGGCTCCATATTCTTGCATTTATCTTGCCGTTGAGGTGACTGGGAGCAGACCTGATTATGTGCCGGGGTGAGCCGGGTCCCTGGTGGCCTTGTTCTCTAGGAATCCCATGCATGGAGAGGCCAGCATTGTCCTCTCCCAGCATATGGAATACTTGCTTATCTTTTGTGTTAACTTGACTACCCATCTTATACTGGGACACACACCCTCATCATTGAATGGCTGGTGTTCCCTCATGTTTTCAGGGAAGATCATACAGAAAATTCACATTCTCTGGAAAAGAGTGTGAATTCCCTACTTACTGCGTCGATTCCTGGATGTGCTCTGGCAGGGGGGAATTGTGTTAGCTGAGGGAAGGCCACTGTGTGAGTGGGGTGCTTCCTGCTGCTGGCCTGTTACCTCCTAACCTGGCTGCACCTCTGACCTCCCCAGGCTGAAGGGGATGTGGCAGCTCTCAATCGACGCATCCAGCTCGTTGAGGAGGAGTTGGACAGGGCTCAAGAACGACTGGCCACGGCCCTGCAGAAGCTAGAAGAAGCAGAAAAGGCTGCCGATGAGAGCGAGAGGTAAGGTTGCTTTGCATCCAGTGATACTGGTGATGGCTTCTGGGAAATGGAGATCTGAATGGATGACTGACCTCACAGAACTGGGGTGTGAGTGCGATCACATGATATGAACATGTGTACAATGCATGACAGTGCCTTGAAAACCCTCACAGTGTACAGAGGATTTGTCATGGTGGTGGTGACAGAGCAATATTCCCACTAGGCAGAGGAAGGAGAAAAAAAGGGCAGTTAGGACTGCAAGTATGACTGCAATGGTGATCAGTTTGCAGAGCCTGAAAGCCGCTGTGTATCTCATCCATGTTCTGAAGACATCAGTTTCCGGGGTGCTGTGAGAAGGGGGCAGGTGAAAACTTGGAACGAGCCATGCATAGTTGATTGTTAACAATGCTGTTGGGCAGGCTTTGGGCTACTGGATGGCTATAACAACATGTCAGGGACACGCACAAACTTGCAACTGACAGTGCTTCTCACCTCGGCATGAGCACTGCATTTGGGCGTCTAGCGGGGTGCTCCATCTTCTGGAGCACGACAGTTTTCTGGCCCAATTCCCTCAGATTGTGTCATTCACAGAAGCAGCTGTCTCTGTGGTGTATATGGGTTCCTTGGGTGGCAATGGTGTGGGCCAGGCTGATGTTCGTTGCATGTCTACCACACGATCCCACCAGAATTCCCACTTGACCCCATCCACTGTGGTGTTCCAGAGTGAGCTCCTCCAAAGGACGTATTCCTGGTTGTGCTGTTGTGACCATAAACTGGAGATAAAAAACCAACTGGGCGGGGGGCAACTGGGGAATCTTGGAGATCGATTCTGGGAATTGCCCAAGCAGGAAATTTCTTCCTGTGTAGTGGAACAGCCCGTGCTGAGGGTGAGACTCCAGGGCAGGCTCTGCCTCAGCCACTTAGAGTGGGAGGAGGGGCAGCCATGGGACATATGAAGGATCTCGTCACTGGTGCTCATGGTTGTGCCTGGGGTCTGGGTTAGCTGTTGTCCGTGTGCGCTGTCAGACCAGCCTGGCTGGATGTCTCATTTTCAAGATGTCCCCAGGGCAAACCCAGAAAGCCTGGGATTCCTTCTCACTTGTATCATGTCACCAGAAGCCTTTGGTGACACTGTTGTTGGAGACTGATGTCGTTTGGTAACAGGAATTCTATACGCAGGAGCTGGAGACTTTAGGTTGAAGTCCTGCTGCCACTTGCTTCTTGGCCTAGGGCTGGTCACTTTGATCTTTTCAGGACTTTAGAGGGTTTTACAAGCTTGCTCACCTGCCCATCTTGAGGCCTTGTACAGGTGTGCAGGGTGTTGTGACAGTCAGCTGAGAATGGTAGTGGCAGCCCAAATGGAAGTACTTATTAGCAGAAGTATGTGCTCCTCTGCTCCTGGCAGGCACTACACACATCGCTATGTTATCCTGGGTCAGCCTCTTGGGAGGTGCTAATCTTACCTGGATCACTCCAAGCAGTGCAGGCCAGAGTGAGCTCATTTCACGGTCAGCCAACTGAATCATGGGAGATTTCTAGCTATCCCCAGGAGGTATCCTCACTCCTTGCCTTGTTGGTACCCAGCTGTTTCCACTGCAATCCATCCATCATTCTGGCTTCCACTCACTCCTGTTTTTGTAGCCTTCAAGTGCCCAGCCTATGGTCCAGCCGCCCTCACCTCCTGCTGTGTTGCGACATTTCTTTGGGGCTTCCTCATGCAGCTCCCTCACTGAAGAATAACTTTTCTCTCCTCATTCACTTGTGGACTCTCTACTGGAAAGTCTTCTGTGACACGTGCACATCACCTCCTCCACTGCAGCAGAATTCATCTTTCCTGGTGCCAAGTGGCCCAGGCCTCTAATCACATTGTAGTAACAGTTGGAGTACAAGTACACCCTGTTACTAGGTGATTTAGAGTGGGAACATAGACTCTGGAGCCAGACCACCATGTTTGAGTCCCAGCTCTGCTTATGTACCTACTACTTCATGGGGCGGTTTGAAGTTTAAGGCACTTAGAGTAGTGCCCAGCGTTCAGTAAAGGTGAAAAGTGCATATGAGCAGCTCCATAAATTCCTAATTGGAGTCTGGTTCTTGGCTGATGTTTGAGAAGTGCTTAGATGAGCAGATGTGTGATGAGGCGGTACTGTGTGTGTGGTGGTAATGACAAGGTTGCTCCTTGCAGAGGAATGAAGGTGATAGAAAACCGGGCCATGAAAGATGAAGAGAAGATGGAGATTCAGGAGTTGCAGCTCAAAGAGGCCAAGCACATTGCAGAGGAGGCTGACCGCAAATACGAGGAGGTGAGTGGAGCTGGCAGATGTCGGCAGCAGCAGGAAGTGGGGAGGAAATGGATGTGTGATAGGGAGACCCTGGGGCCGCCCAAAGGAAGCTCTCAGTTAGGTCAGCTGTCCATCTCTATCCACATCTGTTTTTCCAGAGACACCACTTGGCTGGGAACTGTATCTTCCACAATGCCAAAAGGTTCTGGGGAATCCTGTGACGCTTGTCTGACTTGGTGGGGAAACCAGCTGACCAGATCACTCTTTGTCTCGTAGCTGGTTATTTCAGCACAGTTTGGCTAAAATTAGGAATCGTGGTCCCTGGTCATGGGTCTTCAGACAGTAAAAGCTCAGTCCCCATTCTGTCTGCCTCCATTGTCTCAGCCCTTCCTTCCTCTCCGCCTCACTCTTGGGACCCAAGGGAGAGAATTTTGATGTTCTCCAGGACTGAGTTAAAGCAGCAGCAGTAAGACCCACGTTGGTACATGGTCTGGGCACAGCCTCGCTGACTGCACGGGGTGGGGGGCATCCTACTAGATGTGGCTGTTGGGGTTCAGTCTCCGACTATCCTTTCTCTCTCTGCAGGTAGCTCGTAAGTTGGTCATCCTGGAGGGCGAGCTGGAGAGGGCAGAGGAGCGTGCCGAGGTGTCTGAACTGTGAGTGGCAGAGCAGGACTGAGTAGGGCCTAGCTCAGCTTTTAGGTCAGAGCTGGAGGGAGTTGGTTGACACCAATCAGGGCCTCTGGTCAAGTGGATGGGTATCTGGGACTCATTGCTCAGTAGCTCCTCTTTGCTTCTGTGGCTGACAAGGAGAGGTGCAACTGTTTGTCCTTGCTGCCCACGTCCTGACTCTTCCCACAAAGGTATTAGGTAGTAGGAGTAAGACAGCTGGTAGCAGAGAAGCCCAGAAGTCTCATTCTTCCTGAGAGACTATCTCAGTAGGCGTGTCTTCTTAACAGAAAGCTGACCTATAGAAGGCAGCCCCTCCCCCCTCCCACCCCAGTGTTTAAATGCTTTGCTTCTGAAGTCATTATTTGGCCATGATACATTCCGGGGCAGGTGGGGGAGGGGGTGAGAAGCTTGTCCAGAATCCTGAAAGCTCCGAAGTATAAAAATCCCTTCCCCTGGGCCCTCCAGCTCCACAGAGCATCAGGCAGCGCTGAGAGGGGTCTGGTTTTGCAAATCCATTCTGGGCTTGCTTCCTGTAGTGTCCAATGTAAACTCTGATTGCTGCCTCCCAGCCTTCTGCTCTCCATTTCATTCTTACACCTTCCGGAGTCAGCCTCATCAATCATAGATTCCACAAGTCCTTGTTGCCTCAGCCTTGGCAGGAGCCCAGGAGCACTCTATAAACCTTCCAAATACTCCTCAGGCTGCCTGCCACGCCTTCGCCTGGCATGATAGGGTTTTGATAAATACACAGTACTCCAGCTCAGAAAAGGCCATTAACCTTTTCCCCTGCATTCCTTGTGGGGGCTCCAGGCAGTGTGGATTCCTCCTTAGGAAAACTGCTTATAGGGGAATTGCCTGCTGTAAGGGAGGGTAAGACATAAAAATCCTTTGTCTTTGTGCAGAAAATGTGGTGACCTGGAAGAAGAACTTAAGAATGTCACTAACAACCTGAAGTCTCTGGAGGCTGCCTCTGAAAAGGTTGGTGGTTGGCTTTCGTTGGAGGGTGATTGGCTGGACTTTCTTCTTTCCTTCCCCCAAGGTACTCAGGGGCATGCCAGTGTATCAGGGATCTGACCTGTGTTTGCTAACAGCAGCTTAGTGCCCAGCAGCTGGGTTTTCCCCCCTCACAGAAACAGGTGGCCGGTGGCCGGATCTTCCTCTTCCTTGGGGTCTTAGCACCATCTTTTATCTCCACTTCTTATGGGGTGGAGATGGAATGTGAGATTGATGCCTGGTCAGGCTCCATCTGGAGAGATCTGAGCACAATCCTATAAATACAGAGTCCCACTCTCACTTGAATTCCTTGGTTCTTCCAGAAACACGTTCTTGAAGATTGAGCAGCAGATATCAGAGGTGGAATTGGGCTTTTTAGGTTGAAATAGTACCCAGAGCGGCCACTACAGGATAGAATCACATTAGGAACAATGCGTAGTCTTCCTTGGCTCACCCCGCTAATTCCCATCCTCATCGCTTCCTCGCCCCCCTTTCTACTATCCTCCCATAGCACTGAACTTCAGTTTCACAAACATTCCATGTTCTCCCGTCACCTCTAGTTCTTTGAACCTGTTGTCCATTCAGCTAGGAGTGACCTCTCCTTTTCTTCTTGCTTGATAACCTCCTATTCATCCTTTAGGCCTCTGCTTAAACAGCACTTCTTCTGAGAAGCCTGCCCCGATTGCTCATCTAGGTTAGGCATTTTTTGGCCTCATAGCTCCATCTATATCTTTTCCTGTCATGATGGTTGATCTCATTTATCAAAATTACTCAATTAATTGTATGCCTTCCTTACTAGATTGTAAACTTTAAGGACAGAGGCCATATCTGACTTGTTTAGAGCTATATCATTAGTCTAGCCTTATGCTTGACATATATTTGATATGGATATTTGAGGAATAGATATAGTCTAGGTGTGCATGCCAATTGCTGCCTGAGGCCACGGGGATAGATGTTACAGTGACAGTGTGGCCTCTGCTTCTCTGCTTCTGTGAGAGCTCAGAGTCCAGTTGAGTGGAAGAGACTGACAAGAAAACAAGGTGCTTTGGGACTTCAGCAGAGGGACCTTGGAGAATTGGGAAAGGTCATGAGGAAGTGACCTTAAAAAAGGCCGCAGAACATAATGAGGGCCAGGAGCTCAAATTCCAGTCAGGTTCTAGTCATGGCTTGTTCACTTGATAGCCATGTGACCCTAGACAAATTACCTCTTTACTCATCTGTAAAATGGGATTGAGGCTAGCATAGCAAGCAGTTGATGAATATTAGCTAATATTAATCTGAGTTGAGCCTTGAAAGACACATGATTTCTAACATTGTAATGAGGAAAGGAACATTCTGTCCTTGGGGCTCCATCAAAGCCAGAGCTGGGAGACCAGAGAGTATACAAAATCTGTTGAGAAGCAGACGCACTATAGGGAAGTTGGTGGGAAATGGAGTTAGAACTATAGATGTGAAGGGCCTTGAGTAGCATGTCTTTCCACTCAATCATTGGTCCCACCTTCATCACACTTTTAGCTCAAGTTAGCTAAGTACCATCCCTGAGGGGTCTCCCATAGATTCTGAGTTTTGCACACCTTTCTTCTGCCTGGAAAGGTGCCTGCCTCTACTTTACTTTTAGGCATGTTCAAGCGCACACTTTATTCCAAAGAGCCGGGAACCAGCGCTCTTTATGCCATTTTTCTCTCCTTTTTTAAAAAGCAGTGTTTTGGTTTCTCCCACAGTATTCTGAAAAGGAAGATAAATATGAAGAGGAAATTAAACTTCTGTCTGACAAACTGAAAGAGGTGAGTGGTCACACCCAGCTGGTCAAGTTTTTCCTGGCGCTGGCCTTGAAGCAGTCACAGTGACTCCTGTCTTTTTCTTTAGGCGGAGACGCGTGCTGAATTTGCAGAGAGAACAGTTGCAAAACTGGAAAAGACAATTGATGACCTGGAAGGTATGAAATTACCATCTAATTATGTGTGCTCTGTCTCCCCCTACCTGACACATCCAGAGAGCTGGGGAAAGTCTGTGCAGGGGCTGAGTTGGGCTGCATTCAATTTAGGATAGTGAAGTGTAGGGTGATGTCACATCTGGAAGTCTGGAGGACTGGAATCAGATAGTGCAAATCAAATTCAGACTTGGGTCGCCATTTTTTGAGAAATAAAATATATCTGGTTAATTAGCTCCACGTGTGAATACAAAGACCCAAATATGGCTGATTTTTAAAGAAAAGTGTCTTTAGAATTTTCTTACATTTCCTCATTTCTGAGAGATGCCTTGCATTTTTCAGATGCCTTGCATTTTTACAGAAGCTCTCTCCCAGAGAGATCAGAGCTTATCACTATATGAGAAAACGGAAATATAAGAGAATGTAGAGACTAAATAAAGACTCCAGTCTGCAAGCCTAGTGCCCACAGATCCCAGAATTTCTTGAAGAGTTCCAACTTTTTAAAAAATTCTGTCCTGTGTTCTTCATGAAATAATTCAGTAATTCCAGATCTTGGGGTTCAGACAGAATCTCCCAAGCTGCCTCTTTCACCCAGAAGGGGTGCAAAACTCATTCCTCAGACCATGTGTCCCGAGTTTGGTTTGGGAAGTGAGGTTTCCATATAAGGGGAATGCCCTCCTTTCAAAGTGTGACCTTTGAACCAGGTGACATCATTGAAAGTCAGAAACAACCCAGGGCAGGAGACTGGTGATCTGTGCATTTCTGGTCACCACTCTTTTAAAGGTTCATTGTGACTAATCCCCTGCAGAACCTCAAACTATTTAGAAATCACTCTGTCGCTCTTTTGTCTTCTTGTTTTTTTTCCATAGGACACAACTTCCTCCTAGTTCATGCTTTGTTTTCTCACTTTTTTCCTCTCATTGCTCATCTGTGGCTCACCATTCCAACTCTTGCGTCTGTCCCCTGTACCTCTTCTTCTGAACTCTCTCCCTGGGGACATCCACCCTCTAGACGAGCTATATGCTCAGAAGCTCAAGTACAAGGCAATCAGCGAGGAGCTGGACCATGCTCTCAACGACATGACCTCTCTCTGAGAGGCAGCGGGTGCTGCCCTCTGTCCTAGCAATACTGAAGCCTGCCTTCTCACTGTGGTGCCTACACTTCCATTTCCTGTCTCCTGGTTTGATCCTTTAAGCCACCTTCTGCTGTGTCTGTGACTGTGTGACCGCCTTCTGCTGTGTCTGTGACTGTGACCGAAATAAAGACAGGCGGTCCTCGTTTTCATGCCCTCTTATTTTCATTTTCTCCACTTGCCACTTTTGAGCCGTAGTCACTGTGATGCCCTTGACCGTGGCTGCAACAGAACGTGGATGGTTCAAATGAAGAGCTCATTTCAGAAAGAAAATTATGCCCATGTGATTCTTTTCTGATGACGTGAAAACAAAAGCCAATTTGGCATGAGCTCTCAGACTCGGGGTTAGCTACCTGTATCTGCATGCCAGTAGCTGTTTTTCCTTAAACAGAAATGATTTTGAGTGGAGATTCATCCACTCTCTTAATCAGTTTCATGGAGTCAGCAGATCTTGTAGAAACCACCAGACTTGTGTCTAAAAAGAGGCTACCCTTGAATGGGGTTTGCTCTGCGGATTCAAACAGTGGCAATGGCATTTTGGTCTCTTTAGTCATCTTTGCATTTGCTACTCTGTTACACTCTGAGAATGGTGCCTGGGGCTCCCTATGTTTTCATTGTTCATGGAACATCTATCCAGCTCCCGGTCCTGGGAAGAAGCTCACCCATGAAACTCACCTCTATACCTTGTCCTTAGAAAACTACCCTACAGGAAATTAAAGAGCATCCCATTAGCAGGGAAAGAGAGTGGACACTGCTTCAATACCAAAGAAAGGAAGCAAGGTGATCCTTTCCTGAGTTCCAAACAGAGTTGCCTGAGATGCTAACATCTACCTCCCCGCATACTTAACTAGAACCAGGAACCTTGCTTTGTTTGAGGAAGAACTCACAAAGTTAGTCTATGAGTATTAAAAGGTCATGTTTATAGTGACCAAAAGCTCATACATTTTTCCAGTAGAATCCAAATTTCAAGGTCTCTTCAGCCCTCCCGTGTACTCCACCACCACCTCAGATTGTCCCGGTAACTCTGACATGTTGGTGTCCAAGCCACATCTTCCAGACTGCCCCTCAAACCTGACAATGGCATGGAAATCTCCAGTTAGCATCAATTTGGGGGCCCTATGGCCTGTTATTCTCTGTCCCAATCATTCTTTATATTCATTGCTCCAAAATACATCTCCCCTGAACAACCCAGCCCCTTCCACCCCCAGCATCTCCGTTTCTAACTGCCATCCACCGGGAACTTCTGCATATGCCACTCCCCTCACACACTGCCATACATCCACCCTGGAAAAGTTACAGACTGTGTGGAAGTGGGTGCGTTCTGTTTGCTCTCTCTGTGTATTTGTTCCTGGGGTTTTTCCAGACATTTGTAGCCTCCACCCTTTGAAATAGCTGCAGCCTTGCCTCTCCAGTCATTCTGCCTAACTAAGCACCTAAGTAGAACTTTATTGACAGGGATTGGGTCTGTGGAGATCTACTACCACCTGTTGACAGTCTATGGGCCAGTCATGATCCTCAAGGGCAATTAACACTTTCAGGGAAAGTTATTTTATCTCAGACCTAATAACAAAGTAGATGCCAGGAATCCAGTGGCAAGATGAAGTGAGATCAGGATTTGTAGTTGGGATATCTGAGTTTAGATTCTAACCCTACCACATTAGCTGTGTGACCTTGAACAAGCTACTTAGCTTTCCTGCAAAATAAAGGTGGTATCTTAGTTATTGTGAGGATTAAATGACATCATAGAGAAATTAGCTCACACACTAGTAGCACTCAATTACCATGTGTCCTTCCAGACTGGATAAGCCTGGGTCACTGTTCTCTCTTTGATGGAAGCCTCCAAGATTAGAGTGCCTTGGTTTTTAAGTGCCTCGTCAAATGAAAAGTTCTGTAGTTGTATTTGAAAGGCTGCCATCTTGTGCACTTTTTTCTTTCTGAAAATTTCCAAGTTGATCCTATCACATTTTATGAGACATTTTGCTTCCCTTCAGTATTTTAATGAGCCTTGGCCTAGTCCCTTATCAGCCATTACTCTTGGCAAACCAGTTCTCCTTCGTGTTCTGTCATGTGTAGCCCTAAATGGCATCTTACTTTTAAAAAAAAAATTGTTTCATCAGCTCAATCACTTAATAACATACCCGTAGTCTGGCTTAAATTTCAATCATGTTGCATTTACCTGGGTTTGACTACATTGCTATGGACACGTAGACACAATAATACAATTATGCATGGAATTTCAATAGCCATTCCCAGAAGCTCCAAAAGAAAGATGGGCTACAGGGTTATATTTTCCTCCAAAAGCTCAAGGACTAATTAAATGGCACTTAGGTGGGAGATGTATTAAGATGTATTAAGTTGCTCATATCTAGAACTAAAATCTTACATTTGTGTAGCACTTCATACGTTCTGAAGCATTTCTCATTCTCATAATAACCCCCATACAGTGGTATTGTTATCCCCATTTGACAGATGGGAAAACAGACCTAGAATGGTTAAATGGCTTACTTCAGTGGCAGAGCTGGGACTGAAATCCAGGTGTTCTGACTTTAGGATTACCAGATATAGCAGATTAAAATGCAGGACGCCCAGTTAAATTTGAATTTCAGATAGGCAATGAATAATTTTTTGGCATATGTATATCTCATGCAACATTTGGGATATACTTATACTGAAAAATTTGTTTATACCTGAAATTCAAATTTAACAGAACACCCTGTATTTTATCCTGCAATGTGATCTGACTCCCAGATTTGGTACTTCATCTCTATTATCCCATGGTGTTCCATTATAATTAAAAATGCAAAGTACTTTCTTTGCTATGGTTTCCGCTCTGGCAGTATGGATTTTAGGACACCCCCCCCACACACACACACACTTCCACCCCTCTTTAACAAAGATGCTTATTAATTTATTTTTCTCCCACTCTTAATCCTCACCAGAAAAACTTGCCCAGGCCAAAGAAGAGAACGTGGGCTTACATCAGACACTGGATCAGACACTAAATGAACTTAACTGTATATAACCAAAACAGAAGAGTCTTGTTCCAACAGAAGCTTCAGATTTCCGTGTCTTTCTCCTCTCTTGTAAGAAGTTTCTTTTGTTACTGTATCTGCGCAAATTATGAATATGTGACCAAATATTTTGTATCAGAGAAGCTTTGAGCATCAGTTAAATCTAATTCCTTCCCTTTTTTCCCAACTGGCACCAGGTTTTTTAGCTCTATTTTTATCCTTAAATTGCATTTATTCCTAAGCTAGGCAGGGTGTTTCCTATTGAACATTAGTCTCTTAAGATTGAGGGCATTTGGTTTCTGGGAGATTAAACAACCCCACCCTTTAAAAATACAGACTCTAATATCTAGTCAGTGGTCAATTTAAAAGGTTGAAGAATAGAATCACTGGGCCACCATTGGGCACACTACAGGAGGCCAGGGACCATTACATTAAAATGGGTAGGGATTTTCCATCCAGAGCAAAAAAGGTGGGGGGGGAGGCTATTGTGAGAAGGCATAAGCCATAGGTAGATTATGGATCTTTTCCATACTCTAACATGCAGAATATCCTTTGAGCAGTCAGCATGAGAATGCTTGGGAAATAGCTGTTCTTGCCATCCACTCAGCAGGAATGAATATTACAGAATTCAGTCCTGTTCAGAAAGCCATATCAAAATGACTGCTAGCCTTCAATAATTGAGCAAGAGCATTTTTCTATTAAATATTGGGCAGAAGCGTCCTCTCTGGCAGCAGAGATAAAGTAACTGGCCTAACTTCATCTCTTCTTTACTTCGGGAATGGTAAATTGAAGATTTACTTATCTAGGACTTTAATTCCTTCGTCAGGACCAAGTTAATAAAAGACCAGGAAACTCCTGATTCAACTGGATATGGAGTATTTTTTAGACAGGGCTGCACATTTTGGCTTTGTTAATATTTTTGCTTTCTTGGTTGACATCTCAGCTGAAACATTCCATATTCCCCAGCAGTGAGGGGACAACTCAAGTTTACAGTTCTGACTAAAAATCACCCTGCTTCTAGCTTCTCGGACCCCTCTGCCCTCACTCCTATTTATTACACATCACACTACCCAGGAGATACACTAGCAAATTGTGCAATTGAATAAAACCCACACTTTTCATTTAGATTCTTGCAACTGTATCATATGTAATAGTATCACTTTTTCTACATTTTGGCCAAATAAATTTTTACATAAACTACAACTTGTGTGAATTTTAGAATGTGTGGGGACATATAAGGCATTTTGGTTCAACGAATGTTAATGGGATGGAGAGATAATTGTGCCATGAACTTAGCAAATTTTATTTATTGGCTTTATATCATGACTTCATGATGTGAGGATTATGATCTCTTTATTACGGTGAGAGTACTTTGCCTCAGTAACTCAAAGGCTTCTGTCCTTTGTTATCCCCAATCCTGAGCCGGACTGTGAAGAATGAGCAGGATATTAATACATGAAATAGGAGCAAGAAAGATGGTCCCTGTTGCTTCAGTTAGGAAACCACAGGCCTGCCTGGGAAAGGTTTTCTGTACTTGACATATATAAAGGAAAGAAATAGGAGAGCTGGAAGGTAGGCTAATCCACCTTGATGAGAGCCTGAAATAATTTGATAAGGAGTGGAGAGCCACTGACATTAGGAAAATCCACTTAGCATTCATTTTCAGGAAGGATTAAAATGGGGATATACTAGAGGCAGGAAGACCAGTTAGAAAGATGTTTCAGTTTATCCAGGGTAGTACTTGCCATGGGATAAGAAGGAAGAAGTGATTGAAGGAAGTAATCTTAAGATTTAGCTGACTGGATAGCAGGGAACTTAAGTGTCAAAGATGACTGCAGTTTACCTGAATTGCTTTGGTATCTGCCTCAAGATCTAATCTTGGGGAAGGGAACTAGGGAATCAAAAAGAGAAATGAAAGCCTTTAAAACACTGGTGCAGTATGCAAACCATGTTTTGTTACCAAGTACAATTGAAAACATTTCCTGCTATTCAGCACTGAGCTGACACTGAACTACTTTACTTTAGATGGTAGATGAGAATATCAAAATATAATCCCCTCCTCTAAATGCCCTACCATTACTAGATTGAAGTTCCTTCTCCCTCCTTCCCACCCCCTTTGGCTATAATCTAATCTCAGAATACTGTTTTAGTCATCCTTGTGCTTCAGCACTTAATACAGATGTTCAGTATTTATTATACTGAACTGTCTCAGCTCTTAGGGAGTCCCCAGTCCCATGAAGTGTGGGTGGAACACAGGGTGAGGTTAGGACCAGGTTGTGAGGACTGTATCCTGCCCATAGACCATGGGTGGATATTAGGTGTTTTAGAATGAGCACCCTGCAGGGTGGAATCTGGATTAGAGAATGATCGGGGAGACCAGTGGGAGATGTGATGATCTGAGGGGCCATGGAAACAGAAGAGCAAGGTTCAAGAGCTACTTAGAACATCCTTGAGAACCAGGATGTACGGGATGAAAGAAAAGTATCTAAGACAACTTACGTTTCAGCTAGAAGGTACTTAAGGGCAAGCTACCATGAGTAGAAGATGAGGTCAGTTGTGGACATGCCGAATTCGAAGGATTTTTGACAAATCCAAAGGCAGATGCTGAGAAAGCAGTTGGACATGGAGAGATGCCTGGGCACTGGATTCTCTAAGAAGTAAGAATCACCAGTGTGGAGAGATACTAGAAGCTACAGGGGGAGTGAGTGAGATCACCCAGAAAGTGCAAACAGATAGGAAGAAAACCATGGGGCACATGGACATCTAGGGGACAAGTAGAAACCCCCTTAAAGACTGCAAGGGAACCCCCAGTCCCATGAAGTGTGGGTGGAACACAGGGAGACAAGCAGCATCCCAAGAAAGGGAGATGTGGGTAGCAGGTGAAGAAACAGGCCAATAAAATGGGAAAGTGCCAAGAAAAGGAATTGCCAGAGTAGGTGGTCAACAGTATCAAATACCACGGGGACTGAAACCTACAAAGTGGTTTATGGCTCTGGTTGAAGCTTTTCCTAAACAAGATTAACAGAATGGGCTGAAGTGCAAGGGAGGAGAACCCGAGGCCAACTCTTGGAAGATCTGGCCACTCTGATGGCCCAGAGTGACACAAAGCAGTGAGGCCATGCAGGGAGCAGGGCCTGTCTCTACGAAGCAGGAAACCCTAGTGATCAAGATCTCGGCTTCTGCAGCTTTTGTGTCTGAATTCAAAATCCAACTTCCCACTTTGGGGCCTGGGAAAGTCACTGAAGCCTCTCTGGCCTGTTTTCCCACCATAAAACGTGGTTAAACAGTGGGTTGCAGTGGGGATTAAACGTTTTTGTTTTTTTAAGTAACTGTTTCCACCACTGGCGGGCACACAACCAACGTTCCTAAATAGTAAATGTAATTCTCACTATCCTAACCTACTGGGCGGGTTCTGAGCCCCAGAGGACTGACTAGATTGGGGCAGGTTAAGCTCCAGAGTAAAACTGGAGGCAGAGAATGTCCTGGCTAACCTCTAATTAGGTCCGAAGGCAGTCCTGAATTGTCCCGGCGAGCTCAGGTGCAGGCCTGGGTATTTTTAAATAGGTCTCCTGTCCAGCGCTGAGATTCCGGAGTATGCCTC